ACAATAGTCTGGAACTGACTGAATTCCCTGAATTACATAAATTTAAGTAAACTGTTTGGGCCTTAACTACATTATCAATAAAGAATACCGAAGTCCGAGGATTTTGACAGACAGTACGCCTCGGAAAAGTTTCATGACAAAAGATTTGAATGGTTCCTAATTACTAACTGATGTCTTTCAATTTCTAATAAATTGGTTACTAATTTCTCATACCCTATCAGCAAACATTATGAAGAATGTTCTAGCAGTACAACCATGCACGTGAAAGCAGCAATAAATTGGGATCTTTCAAAATCATGAAATATTTTGTGTTTGCCTTGAATTTTCCCCTCCACTCCCATCCCCCAGCAGTAAGAAATTCCTTTTTGGTTAGAAAAACGCTCTGTAAAGTGAGCCTGGGAAGTCCTGTAGACTGGTACAAAAAATATTGTAAAAGGCATCTCTAATGTGTATAGTCACAGGACCCCATTACCACCAAGGAGCATCTATCCACTTTTCTGCATATTATTTTAGTCCACCAGCCTAAATCCATTTTGGGCACTAAGCGGTGCCATCAGCTAGAAAATGTGATTGTTACTTCATGAGGCACATATCTGATGGTCAGCACCAGGGTGACTGGAGATGCTGAAAGTAGGGATGTTAAAATGCATTTATACAGAAAATTTCAGCAATTGTACGTTTACATGGTGGGGGGAAGCAACTCCCCAGGAGCTGGCACGCACAAGGAAACAGCTTTTAAGCTGGCTCCCCATGTGCACTGGCTCCCACCTGCTCCCCCCACCACACTGCTGCCTCGGTATAAGAGGCAGCAACATGAGGGGTCAGTTGGTTCCCTGGGAGCTGGTGCAAGCAGCGGGAGGGGGAGCATTGCGTGTAACTGTGCACATTAAGGCTATGTCTAGACTGCCGCTTTTTTCGGCAAAAGGTACGCAAATTGTGCTCAGTTTTGTCGTAAGAGGCTTTTCTGAAATTTGGCCCGTATATACATCTCTAGCTGAATTTTCCGATATCACATAATGTTTAAACATCAGACATCCAATCTGTTAAAAAATTACAAAAAGGGTTATATTTCACAGAAAGTTTAATTTTGACCAAAATTAGCAGAAAGTGTCTGCTATTGATAATGCAGCTATCATCTCAAAATGGTACTGTTTGGGAAATATTTAGCCTCAGCTGACATACTTTCTGCATTTTCCCCTACTTCTATGTCTGAAATTAAAGCAAAAGTCTGTAGTCAAAAGACACTCTGAGCATATTTGTAGTTTTTGTACCATATAATACATAAAAATATTTGGAATTTGCAGGCTGTACTGATTTAAGAAGAGTCTGTCTGCTATTTTTATAAAGTTATGTAGATAAGGACCTACCCTTAATTGTAAAAAAATATATTTTGATGTTATCTAAAGCATACATTGCTATTATCTTACTATCACTGAATATGACAATACATGCAAACTACTTGTATAACAATACCGATTCTTAAGGGCTGCAGAATGTCTTGTAGAACCATATTGTGTAGGACTAACGTATAACCATGTACCCTGACATAACCCATTGTGATGGATAGGAGGAGTCCTGCCAAGCATTCTGTGACTAAAGGGTTAAACTAAGGGTGTTGGCAGGGAGCCAGAAGACCCAATGGGATACAGTGCCAAAATGTAAATTGTAAATATATTTACCTGCTGCCTGCTCTCTTCATGTGAGTTTTAAGTTAGGATCTGGAGGAAGCAAGATAAAGTAATCAAACGGAATTACAAAAAATATTGGGCATGGGAATGGATTGGGCTTTAAAGTATGGATCAGTACAGATTGTGAGTAGACTGAGAAATGTATGTTTAGTCGCGATCAGGGTATTTTTTTTAATTTTGCTGTTTGATTAAATATCTGTGTGTGAAATCTATGTGCCTCCCTCTCCCCCATTCACTATACCTAAGATGTGCCAGAGAGACCATTTTTCTGTGTTTTAATCTGCTCTTTTCTCAGTTGCTCTATAACGCCTAGCAACCAAGTATGCTTTATCAAATTTATCGGGGTGGCCAACCCGCAGCTCACAAGATGCATGCAGCTCTTTGATTAAAAAAATGCAGCTCTTGCTGGTACCGCTCAGGCCAGCCGCTTTGCACAAGATGCCCCAGCACCTGCTCACAGCCAGGCCTCTCTGTGCATGCACCTGAGAGCCTGCTCACGGGCAGGCCACTCTGCGCAAGGCGCCCGAAAGCCTGCTCACGGCCAGGCCGCTCTGCACAAGGCACCCCAGTGCCTGCTCACGGCCAGGCCACTCTGCACCCCATTACGCACACGGTGTCCCAGCCAGCACATGTTCAAGGTTGGCTGCTCAGCGCACATACCCCAGCACTTGGAGGGAGACGTGGTGGTAGCAGCTCTGGGACCCAGGCATTAGGTTGGTGGGGGGGGCAGGTGCCTGGCTCTAGGGGAGGGGAGGGAGATTGGGGGGTGCCCGGCTCTGGGGAAGGGGATGGGGATTGTGCTAGAACAGGGACGGGGGTGCCTGGCTCTGGGGGAAAGGAGGGAGATTGGGTTAGAGCTGTGGTCACCAACTTGTTTATCGTGATCAACTGGTCAATTGCAGGGGCATGACCAGTTGATCACGAGGCGTTCCAGCCCCCCCTCATTCCCTCCCACCTCCAAGAAGAAGCCTACGTTGATGCTACCTCCAGCGAAAATGGAGGTAGCATGCCGGCTTCCAGCAGGGGGTGGGGGAGGAAGAATTCCCGCAGCTACAAGATAGGGCCTGTGTCTCAGGAAGTGTGCGGGCTGCTTTTCCCCTCCTCTAATTAGCTGATGCGCTTCCGAAATGCCGAGTCTGTCACGACACCGGGGACTTTTCCCCCTGTTGCTTGCCTGCACGGGGGTGGGGGGGAATAGGAGGCCCAGGACTGCATGCCAGCCTCAACTTCTCAGGAAGCACGCAGCTGTCATGGGGAGCAGAGGAAGAGTGCACACTTCCTGAGAAGTTGGACCTGGTGCACAGTCCTGGGACACAAACACACACACACTCTCACACACACACACCAGAGGGAAGGAAGTCCCTGGCAGAGCAACAGACCCAGCATTTCAGGAAGCACACTCAGGCTGTGTCTAGACTGCATCCCTTTTCCGTAAAAGGGATGCAAATTAGACACATCGCAATTACAAATGAAGCGGGGATTTAAATCCCCGCCCCCCGCTTCATTTGCATAAAAATGGCTGCCGCTTTTTCCCGGCTCGGAGCTTTGCCAGAAAAAAGCGCCAGTCTAGACTCGGATCTTTTGGAAAATAAAGCCTTTTCCGAAAGATCCCTTATTCCTTATTTTAAGAGGAATAAGGGATCTTTCGGAAAAGGCTTTATTTTCTGAAAGATCCGCATCTAGACTGGCGCTTTTTTCTGGCAAAGCTCCGAGCAGGAAAAAAGTGGCAGGCATTTTTATTCAAATGAAGCGGGTGGGATTTAAATCCCCGCTTCATTTGCAATTGCGATGTGTCTAATTTGCATCCCTTTTCCGGAAAAGGGATGCAGTCTAGACACGGCCTCACTGTTTAGGGGAGTGGAGTGGAAGAGCAGCCCACACGCTTCCTGAGACCTGGGATCCCCAGGTACCGAGCTGTCCCTGTCCCCTCCCCCTTGCGAGATCCCCACGAGTACCCTGCCCCCTGGCCAAAGCCCCAATAGCACCCTGCTTCTGCCCCCTGGCCAGACTCCCACCAGCACCCTGCTCCTGCCCCCTCCCTCCTGGCCAGACATCTATCCCCAGCTTGCTCCTGTACCCTTTTTTCCACCCAGATTCTGCACCCCCATCCCTATCCCACTCACTGGAAGCCTTGTCCCACACACTAGATCCCTCATTTGCCCCGCCTCAGATTGTAAAGGGGCCCACAAATTCCACTAACCCTGGAACCCCAGAAGAGTTCATCTGGCCTGGGGCTGGAGTGCCAGGGGAGTGAGGTGTTTCAGCTGGGGCCATATTAGAGAGGCTTGGGGGGGGGGTTGGAGGTTTTTTTTGTTTTTTGTTTTGTTTGGGTTTTTTTGCATCTCACTTGTGTGGCCTCAACTAATTTTTCTGTGGGTCAGTGACCCCTGACTCAAAACAGGTTCCCTGCCCTTCTCATAAATAAAGACAACACTGAAACATTTTGTGTTGGACATATTTTATTTAAAAATGAAGCCTGGCCAAAAAGCTCCCAATTTGGGCCAAGCCCTCATCTGGCCGCAGCATCATAACACTCTTGCGCGCGCACACACAAACACATACACACCACACACAGAGACCCCAAAACTGAGCCTATCATACATTGGAACCACTTGTCCTGAGCTTCTCACATCCTCAGTCTTCTGCCACAACACTCTTGCACCATCCACACACCGTAAATCTGTGTCCTGAGCCCAGCATACACCAAGCCTCTCTGCCCTGAGCCACTTGTACACCCCAACCCAAACTCCTGCACCCTCACATCCACAACACTCCACCTGACCCCAATACCCTCTAGCCTGGAGCGCCCTCCCTGAGCCAGCATCCCCTTCTCTACTTCCTCCTGCACCCAAATTCCCTCCCAGAGCTTGCACCTCTCACCCCTTCCCACATTCAAATCCTTCATTCCCACCCGAGAGCCCACACCTTCGCTGCGTCTAGACTGGCAAGTTTTTCCGCAAAAGCGGCTAAACTTGCCAGCTGTCTACATTGGCCTCTTGAATTTGCGCAAGAACACTGACGATCTAATGTAAGATTGTCAGTGTTTTTGCGCAAATGCTTTTGCGCAAGAGGGCCAGTGTAGACAGCTAAAAATTGTTTTGCGCAAAAAAGCCTCAATGGCGAAAATGGCGATCGGGCTTTCTTGTGCAAAACCGCGTCTAGATTGGCATGGATGCTTTTCCGCAAAAAGTGCTTTTGCGCAAAAGCATCTGTGCCAATCTAGATGCTCTTTTCTGCAAATGCTTTTAACGGAAAAACTTTTCCGTTAAAAGCATTTGCAGAAAATCATGCCAGTCTAGATGTAGCCCTTCTGTTTCAACCCAGTGAGAGTGAGCAAGGGCTGGGGACAGCTAATGATGGAGAGGAAGGGAACAGAGAGGGGAACACATTTTGTTGGTGAGATGTTTAGCAGTGTCTGATATTTTCTTTATAATTTGCAGCATGTGGTAATCCTCTTTCAATATGGAAGGAAAATGTAAAAATAAGCACAAATATAAAGAACATAGAACATTCTTAACAGAGTGGGAAAATTCATATTTTTTCATTGAATGCAATGGCAAACCACTCTGTCTGATATGCCAGACTTTGTTAGCACATTTCAAGTGTCCAAATCTCCAGCGCCATTTCATAACACACTATGCTAACATCGATTGGGAATTTCCAAAAGGTACTGAACTTCGCAATCACAAACTAAAACTTGGAAAAGTCAAATAGAAAAACAGACTGGAGGGTTCCGTAAATTTTCCAAGCATTCTCAGAAAGTTACACTTGACTCATTGCCCGCACTAAAAAATCTTACAACGAAGGCGAGTTTGTTAAAAAAATGCCTTGTAGATGTTGTTTCCATCTTGTCTCCAGAAAATGACAATCTAAAAAGAATGGTTTCAGGCCTTCAACTCTTACGCCACACAATCAAACACAGAATATCTGACATAAATGATGCACTTAAATCACATTTGTATTCAGATCTTCAGAAATGTGAGTACCTCAGTATTGCACTGGATGAGTCTTATGATGTACAGGACAAACCTCAATTGGCAATATTTGTACAGAGGATTGTGTAATCAACGAAGAACTCCCAGATACTGTACCATTAAAATACAGAATCTGCGGCACTGATGTGAAAGAAACACTGATGGAAGTGTTTGCAAAAACAAATCTGCCTTTACCGAAACTTGCAGCAATAGCAATGGATGGGGCGCTGTCTATGATTGGATCTGTGAATGGACTTGTGGGGCTATGTAGAGCTGATGACAGGTTCCCTGAGTTCTGGATGTTTCACTGCAACATCCATTGGGAGCAACTGGTGTCTAAAAACCTGAATTTAGACCATGTAATGAAACTGTGCTAGAAATTGTCAGGTATATTCGCACAGATGCTCTTAACTACAGACAATTCAAGAATATAATTTCTGAGCTTGACCAAGATCTTCCAGGAGACCTGCCACTGCACTGTACTGTAAGGTGGCTTTCAAAGGGCCAAGTGCTGTTTCGTTTTTTTGAACTTTTGGACGCTGTGAAACTGTTCATGGAAGAGAAGCATAAAGAATATCCCGAGTTCTCAGATCCACACTGGGTTTTAGATTTGGCATTTCTGGTGGACATGCTGCATCATCTGGACAGACTCAACTTAGACCTACAAGGAAAATTGAAGATGCTGCCTGACCTGGTGCAAAGTGTATTTGCATTTGTCAAAAAACTCAAGCTGTTCAAAGTACAACTTCAAAGGCAGGAACTAACGCTTTTTCCCTCATTGTTAAATGCAGGGAAATGTTAACAAGCAGCTGAAGCCTTGAAAAAAACCACCACACGAAAAACTTCAGGATAGTTTCATGGAAAGATTCTATGATCTACAATTGAAAAGGCCACAGATAAGATTCTTGGTCCACCCTTTCACTGCAGAGGCTGACTGTTTGAAAGCCCCATTAGTCACAGATAAAGCAGCTTCTCAGACTGAGATGACTGAGCTGTCAGAGGACAATAGAGTGAAGTCTTTTCTAAAGGAAAGCACACTTGTGTTCTGGAAAACTGTACCAATGGAAAAATACCCCAATATTAAACGGGCTGTGCCCAGACTACAGGAAGTCCCCGGGTTAAGTACAAGATAGGGACTGTAGGTTTGTTCTTAAGTTGAATCTGTATGTAAGTCGGAACTGGTATCCAGATTCAGCCGCTGCTGAAACTGATCAGTTTCAACAGCGGCTGAATCTGGAC